TTAATTAGGTAATGTGTTTATTGGTAGTGATTACCTTGAACATTGGCCCTACTCCTGCCCACCGATGTGGAACTGAGGCAAGCGAGGCTCGCACCTCCCGCCACCAGTCAGCCAATCACACGGCCAGGTCAGAGAGCGACAGTGGTGGAGTAGTAGCAGACGTGAGTCGGCCACTGAGTTCAGGGAGTGAACCCACTGTGGCCGGACGGATTACTGACAGAACTACTGGAGTTGTGTTCGAGTAACATGTAGCCCTATCTACAGTGTACAGTCCCTGGTAGACTCGGGTATCTGTGGTGGAACCCCGTGGCCAGGTGTTGGGGCAATGAGTGAAGGTCTAAATATAGGGGTGAACACCTGGAGAGAGACGACTTTGTTGTGGATATACATTTCCGTGGGCATTCGTGGCAACAAAGGTGAGATTTGAGGAGTGTTCGGTTCATGTCTGTTTCCCTGTCTAGAGTTGGTCATATAGCTTCTACTGGACAGCACTGCACTGTAAAACTGTTGCATAACAGTAGTTTGTAGCTGATAACAGTAACTTGAGACAGATGGATTAAACATAGCGACAAGAGACAGGTAGGAAGTAGTGGTTGTCTCTATCTATTTCATCTTAAACTAATCTTCAGCTTCAACCTGGTACAATACTTTATTTATCACAGACTGGGGGTAGTATTTGGTTACAATATTAATAAACTTTATATAAATATGATAAGCTTATAAATAATGTTTAGGTATAACACTGTCCGATGTGTTTATTGTGTTGTCCTCCTAGAGTTGATACACCATTTCCCCGTGCGATGTATCAGCATTGGTTGTCCTGTATTCTCCACACAGAGAGCAGTAGACACAACAAACCATACTCCGCCAGTAGGCAGTTCCCATTCATGTATTTGACTTTTAGTGAATTAGCGAATCAAGCAAAATTGTTTATACATTAAAAACATATTTGACGACTAGTAAACCTCAATAACAGTGTTAATTTATTTCACAGACATAATATTTTCACAATATGTCTAGCGCTGATAATGTGAAGGCACAAATATTCAATAGAGATTATTTTAACAGGAAGACTTTCAAGAAATGCTTCTGTTCTGACCATCTATAATACTAGTATTCAACCTGTATCAGTATCAATACTGTATCAGTTGTATCTTACCAGAAGGACCAAAACAAATCATAGATACATAAATGAAAATGGAAGAACTTCTTACAATTGATTATAGGAAATAATAATTCTAACACAAATCTGACAAAAATGTTAAATTGTTTCAAGCCAACATGAAGAGGCAGATATTGATAGCTCACCAGCAGCATTTCAGCATATATTATCTTTATCAACTAAAATAAACGTTATCTACTTGCTGGTGTATAAATATATAATAATCCTTGCTACACAGATAGAGATCGGATAATAATGTCCGACAGTGAAGTACTAATGGCCTTAGTCATATTCAGAAGTGGCTTGTCTCAACATCCAGCATTACAGTGTGGTGCTTACCATTAAATATTTATAGTAATTTGTAGAAAAGAAATCTATACTTTAGATTGCCTTTCCAGTATGACCCATACACAAGGAGATCAGTCACTGTCGTGATAAATCATTCATATCTTCATAACCAACAATGTCTCTGACTCCTGAAGGTATCATCCTCAGGGATGGAATTTTGCTAACATCAAACCTATCTAACAGCAAACAATAGAAAATAACAAAAGTATGATGACATTAATCATGCTATTAAAAAATAATAGCTACTACCTTTCACACATATCATAGTACTAATATGAAATTTGTTGCATACAGATTTCTACAGAGTGCGCTTGTTCGTCTGTTGTATTGGTAGGACACCAAAAGGGGTGTTGTATGCTGGGTAGTACACTTGTTGGGAATTTAATATTTAAGGAAGAACTCCAAATGAAATGATATACAACACCTGACGGAATAATTTATTGTGAGATGAATACTTGTGTGAATGTACCCAGGCCAGGGAAGAACACCTGATGAAGTAATACCAAGGGTAGACTGAGCGTTCTCCTCTGTGTACCCAACTGCTATCACAGCATTGTGTCTGTTCCTGCCTCCGATGGAGGACAAGGTTCACAGCAGTGAAGAGCCAGCATGTGAGAATGTTTGAGATCCCGGTCCAGATGTGTGTAGGATTACCTCATAAAACAGTATCGACATGACGCAACCTACCACATGAAAGCCCAGTGGAGCCGTCCCAGGCCTGACCCAACACAACATCACTATGTCCTCCCTGGACAACCGTGCCACACAGTGGGGAATTTCCTTTCTACAGTATCAATGCTTTGTTTCTGGGCGGTGACAGGGATATTCACAGCCTTGCACTCACAGCCCATTTCCCCTCAAAAACTTATGTGTGTTTCGAATTTATCAAGGATTGTATCAACAAACAGACAAACTAAATATATTCCTTGAAGTTAGGGTTACGTGACTGTTTCTTCTGATTGTGTAAAGGTAATGATTGTTTTTCAGTGACAAAATCTATAAGATTAGTGTGTGATATCATGTTGTGATCCTGTGTGTTATCACAGAGTGATCCTGTGCTGCTCCAGCTGGCATTGTCTGAACACATGATACCAGATACAATCTCTCCACAAGTGTTACAGAGGGTATCGGAGGGTAACCTGCCCTCCTACCCAACCATCTCCATAGAACTTGCTGTAACACAGCACTGTGTCACGATTGCTCGTACTGCTTGTTGACTATCACCCATAACACCCTCTGTATCATATCTCCTGCTCAACCGACAGTGATACAAACACACGTATGCACTATTGAATAATACCCTAACACAATGCACCAAATCATGACAACAGGCAACTATCAGGGGAACCATCAATGATATCATGTCTTCATTGGGTGGCCTTGGCCTACCAACTATCTATAAGTCAAGCGTCAGAAACATTATCCATTTGGAACGGTTGGCCTCAAACAATGAACGATGACTTATGACCACCTGACCGGAAACTAGTTTACTGGTTGTGTTGTACAACAATTTACCGAGACATGTTAATCCCGAGGTCCCAGCAGGTAGAGTACGCTCTGTCACACATGAACAGTGTTCTGTTACGGACAATCACAGGTAACAGGCTTCTACTCACTAGCACACCACTAATCTGCTTTATTGGGTACAGTAACTATTAGGTCACAGACGGTAGAGGTCACTGGTCAAAAGCACAGTTCATCCCTATAATCTATGTGCTGTTCACACTGGGGGGAAGGAACTGTATCCTTTAGAGGGCTTAACGGCCATGAACTCCGCTAACGGGAGTCTTTATGGCAGGTGCCATGGTGTATTGTGTCCCACTTCAGGGTAGCACAGGGAAGTAACGGGTCATAACCTGTGTTGGGGGACGATGGTGGGGCTAGGTGACTGGGAAATGACTTTTGGTCATTACCAGAGCCTGTTTACCACTATCTCATTCAGCTTGGAATCATTAATTACTTCCATACAGCCCAATCTAGGACTGACTGTCACTGTATGACTTCATGGCTAGTTTATGTTGAGATCCCCCTTGGTGATATGACATGTGTATAATACTCGTCATCACAATCTGAGGTGATTTCCTAACTGAGTGAACCTTTTAATAGTATGTGCCACCAGTACTGGGGGAAACACAGTGATAAAGCTAGACTTATTTCTGTCAAATTGTGTAAAATTGAAATGGAGGTGGCAGTCATCCTACCTATAAAATTCCAGTCACTAAAAGATCCCTGTAAAATGAAACCAAAATTTTCATAACCTGAGTTTGCAATATCACAATTCCAGCATGATTTTCATAGCAACTTATGACTTGATCTGTGGCTTGTACCAGGTGACCTCCAGTTGGACAATAGGCATCGCATGTTAAAGGCCATACCTCCACTAAAACACCAAGACACCTGCCCTGCTGGGTTTTTCTAGTAATGGGAAAATAAAATGTCAATCTAAATATCTGCAGTTTACTGAAACGAAACAAGCTGTTGATATGAATAGTTAATAACCAACCATAATGGATGAGCTCCCATTGCAGAACCTAACACAGCTAATCATCACATATCAGAATCATTGTTTTAGGACAATTAGCCACAAAAACTTGATTACGAGCAAAACTGGCTTCAGTTTTCTTCCACATATTCAATCAATGCTCCATGGTGTTTATCCCATGTAGAAGTTGTGAAAGTCTGCATTCCAGTATGAATAATAAATCTCCCTCATCAGGGCAGTGCTTGCTGTCTACACAGGAGAAATGCCTACATTCCACACAACCTTGCCTGGATCAACAATGGACGTACAAATACCATATCATTGTTTCACACACGACTTCTTGCAGTGGCACAAATATGATGGTTAGTCCCCACTTACAGGATGTGGTTGATGTGCACTCTCAAGACAATGCAACCTGTGGGGTGAAGCTGCACATGTCACCAGCCTGACAAGTGTCAGATCCATGGCCTGGGGGTGGGTCTATAGTCGGGATTCAGAGAAGCTCTATTGTACAGGGTGAGGAGATGGGTAGCATCTACCCTGGGGTGGGTTTGGGCGCAGGAAGAGGGGGGGTTATTGTCTCGTGAAGTGGAGGTCGTGGCATGTGCCCTGGGGGTGGGGTGATTGATCCTGATCAATACATGACTGTTATGTTTTGGTCACTTGTTACACTGAAGCATTGGGTGAGGGAAATGATGCATTGTGTGTCCTAACACTGGGCAAAGTTGAGGAGGTGATCCCATTTGGAAAGTGTTGTATGGAGGCAGGGAGGGTGTGATCATTGGGAGGTGTAGCAGCTAACCTGGTCATATTACTGCAGCCTCACATACCAAGTGACAAGCATACGTTTCCCTTAGAGATGGTTTGTCCAACAGGTCAGTCCAGGTCCTCTAACACATTCACATACTTTGATTTATTCCTTATTTGAAATGTCAGTTGCATGAAATGACTGTTGTATCATATATGTGTAGATCTACATTTCTCTAATTTTGTGTGTCTTTTTTTCAGATTTTCGATGTGAGCTTGGTGTCCGCCAGCCCTGTTTAATTTTTATGATGGGGAAGACGCAGTCAAGAGCCAACCATTATGATTATTGAAAGGAAAACAATGAATATTCTCTTCTATCTGGGGATTATTGTGCCAACAATCATCACTGTCATCTTATTTGTGCTTTTTATTGTGTGCTGGTACCGTCTGAAAGCTCGCCGGGAGGTATTGCACAAGAAACACGACCCCCACGGCAAGATGCGACAGCTAGGTGTGTCACGGGTTCCACCTCCTCCTCCGGTGTTCATTCGACAGGTGTTCCAGCGCCTGTCTGTGATTGGGGAGGATAACGATGCTTACCAAGTGAGTCGCAGCCCCTCCACCGAACAGGATCAGGGGGGACGTCCTGGATTGTACCACGCCCCCCATGACAGCGGCTTGTCGGAACTGAGTGAGTTACAATGCAAGGACAGGCCTCATTCACAAGCATCACAAGGATCAACAGATTCGGAGGATTCCGGCTTCAGGAGTTCCCGTTCAGGACAATACCACCCTAGTGCAAATAATCAGCTTCAAGACATTCCCCTACTGAAGCCTATCAAATCCAACAAGGAAGCTATAGAGACCGTGTGGCTTCAACCTTCAGATAACGCTCACTCTCAGTCACAGATGCAGGCATGTGCACGGCCACTCAACTCATCAACCAGAAGCATAACTTCATCTGCCAGACATTTCAATACATCTGATAGAAATCTCACTTTTGCAGTAAAAAATCTCAATTCTTCTAGGAATCTTAATTCTTCCTGTAGGACAATGAACAATTCCTCTTCCTTCAGTGGCATGGAACAGTCACCACAGAAGGTAGACTTGACAGACATAAGTACCCACATCAGTTGGATGTACCTGCAGAACTTAGCAACATCGTCTCCTGCAGCGCCACACGGCGGTGGGGGCATCAACCCCAAGGTGACCATGGCCCAGGTCCACTGCAGCAGTGACCCGGCTGGGGCTGGTGCTGTGGTGGAGTCTAATGGAGATTTATTAGGGTATTCTGTGGTATGAATGGGAACATTCCCAAGATGGAGATTTTCACTGGATTAGACAGTAGTTGATTCAATCTCCTGTTGTGTGATTTTGTGTGGATAACTAGTCTCAGAGTCAATCTCATTTCATTCCAATCTGCAGCAAGCAAAGCTACAGATTTACAGCCGATTTCAACAAAAAATAAACCAAATAACAATTTTTCTTCAAAAATTGTTTAACTTGAGATTTGCCCTGGTGTTTTGATGTTGGAGGATCCGAGATGATGGCAGAGACTCAATGATTGTAGGACTACACCACATTCCTCCTATGACTCCATTCCTCTAGTGCTACAACAAGCTGTCTCTGCATCCGTGTACATACAGACAGTGAACTCATTCAGATAATTGTGGAAATAGTCTACTGGACAAGCTCGTCCCCTGTATGTGTTTTATATGTGACTGTGTTTGTGCCCTCTGTGATACCATGGTAGCCGCCATGTTGTTGGTGTGAGGCCAATGTGCTTGTTTTTATGGGACAATGTGAGTGTGTTGGTTGATGGCTGGGAGTAGTTCGTGTGTATGGCATGTTGACCAATCCGGCATGTTATTGACTTGTGTGAAAGTTGAGGCGTGACAGGGTGCGTATGGTGGGTGTGATTTGGACAGCGATTTGTAAACTGTGAAAACATAGTTCTCAACAACGTCAATTGCTTGTTGACTAAACCTGACAAAATAAAATAATTTATGTACTTTTCAAATCCTTGTTTTTCATGCTATGCCCTTGTTCCATATTCAAGTCACATGACTTGGGGTCTCGATAAAGCCTTGAACTGAGAGTATCTTGGCCCCACTTCGGCCTCGCCACGTGTTGTGTAAAGTTGGAATGAGCAAGTTCTCTCGTACATATTCACACAAAATACTGACACCACCAAAACACCTTTCCCACGGGTAGGGCCATTTTTCATATACTCATGGCCGATACAACATGGGGCTGATTTGGGCAGATGCCCCTACAGCAGCTACAGATTACAGATGTAAATACCGCCTAATTCCACACGGAACCCCAGTCTTACAGAATTGGAAGAACTTTTTTTAAGCATGTAATCTTCAATAATGAGTGCTAAATCTTTCTCTAGGCATGCTAGAGTCTCCAGGTTTAACCTAACGGGGAAGTGACACCAACAAGTGGGAAATGATAGCGCATGGTGCCATGTGGCAGCTTGCGTTGCGGGACATGCTCGCACACTCATTACCTGGTATTAACTGACCATCAGAGGTCGGCAAATCCCTCATTGATATGGAAGAACGTATGTTGCTTTTGCCTTCATCAAAAGATGGGAAGATCAGTTTCAGATTCATTATTGAGTCACATACTATCGTGCAGTTAACGGCCACTTTGCGCTCGATGTCTGTCATAATGTAATCTTGTTTTTATTGAGAATAAAAGGAGCGGTCGATCAAGAGAAGCAGAGGCCTCTTTAATCTAACATTTCCGTCTTAGTCTTGCCTTAGGGAACAGGTGAAGAAGAGGATTTGGTGAAGGAGAAGGGGGGACAAATGAGGTGAGGAGGGAGGGGAGGAGGTGCAAAGGGGGATCATGATGGGTGGTAGGCTGTGGACAGAAGGCTGGGGGAGGGGTATCATTACCAGCAACTTAGATGGAGGAGGAAATAATGAGGAGGGAGATCCTTAGTGTGCACTCCATCGTCGGTTCGCAACTACATCGTCAGTGTGCCACAACTCCCTGGACATCACCATATAATGATGGCAATATGACATGCCACACTAGAACCTGTGTGTCCCGGTCAACACAGTCCTGTGTGAAGCTTCTCACACTTGTTAGTGATCAGTCCAGTCACCTTGATTTACACAGTCGTATATAATACAGCAGTATCAGGGGTCTCTTAGTAACCTAATCCCATGTATATTACTCATCAGTGCTTACAATAGGTGGAAATTTCAATTACATTTTGAAGAGAAAGTATAATCCCAAATATAATATGTGTTACATTTGACCACTTTCTAAAATGGCATTGTGTATTTTCATTTTGAAGAGAAGACAAACACTATGTTTTTTGTGTGTATTTCCTAATAACAGTAATGTCAGTTAAGGGTGTGTGTGACTGCATCTGTGGATGTGTGAGTGTGAGACTGCATCTCTCTGTGGATGTGTGAGTGTGAGACTGCATCATTCTCCTGATGTGTTAGTGTGAGACTACATCCTCCCCTGATGTGTGAGTGTGAGACTGCATCTCTCTGTGGATGTGTGAGTGTGAGACTGCATCTCTCTGTGGATGTGTGAGTGTGAGACTGCATCTCTCTGTGGATGTGTGAGTGTGAAACTGCATCTCTCTGTGGATGTGTGAGTGTGAGACTACATCCTCCCCTGATGTGTGAGTGTGTGACTGCATCATTCTCCTGATGTGTTAGTGTGAGACTGCATCTTTCTCCTGATGTGTGACTGTGAGACTACATCTTTCTCCTGATGTGTGACTGTGAGACTAGATCATTCTCCTGATGTGTGAGTGTGAGACTACATCATTCTCCTGATGTGTGAGTGTGAGACTACATCATTCTCCTGATGTGTGAGTGTGAGACTACATCATTCTCCTGAACTGTGAGTGTGAGACTACATCATTCTCCTGAGACTACATCATTCTCCTGATGTGTGAGTGTGAGACTACATCATTCTCCTGATGTGTGAGTGTGAGACTATATCATTCTCCTGATGTGTGAGTGTGAGACTATATCATTCTCCTGATGTGTGAGTGTGAGACTATATCATTCTCCTGATGTGTGAGTGTGAGACTACATCATTCTCCTGATGTGTGAGTGTGAGACTACATCATTCTCCTGATGAGACTACATCATTCTCCTGTGTGTGCAGTGTGAGACTATATCATTCTCCTGATGTGTGAGTGTGAGACTATATCATTCTCCTGATGTGTGAGTGTGAGACTATATCATTCTCCTGATGTGTGAGTGTGAGACTACATCATTCTCCTGATGTGTGAGTGTGAGACTACATCATTCTCCTGATGTGTGAGTGTTAGACTATATCATTCTCCTGATGTGTGAGTGTGAGACTATATCATTCTCCTGATGTGTGAGTGTGAGACTATATCATTCTCCTGATGTGTGAGTGTGAGATTACATCATTCTCCTGATGTGTGAGTGTGAGACTACATCATTCTCCTGATGTGTGAGTGTGAGACTACATCATTCTCCTGATGTGTGAGTGTGAGACTATATCATTCTCCTGATGTGTGAGTGTGAGACTACTACATTCTCCTGATGTGTGAGTGTGAGACTATATCATTCTCCTGATGTGTGAGTGTGAGACTATATCATTCTCCTGATGTGTGAGTGTGAGACTACTACATTCTCCTCATGTGTGAGTGTGAGACTGCATCTTTCTCCTGATGTGTGAGTGTGAGACTACATCATTCTCCTGATGTGTGAGTGTGAGACTATATCATTCTCCTGATGTGTGAGTGTGAGACTATATCATTCTCCTGATGTGTGAGTGTGAGACTACTACATTCTCCTGATGTGTGAGTGTGTGACTGCATCATTCTCCTAATGTGTGAGTGTGAGACTATATCATTCTCCTGATGTGTGAGTGTGAGACTATATCATTCTCCTGATGTGTGAGTGTGAGACTATATCATTCTCCTGATGTGTGAGTGTGAGACTATATCATTCTCCTGATGTGTGAGTGTGAGACTATATCATTCTCCTGATGTGTGAGTGTGAGACTATATCATTCTCCTGATGTGTGAGTGTGAGACTACATCATTCTCCTGATGTGTGAGTGTGAGACTACATCATTCTCCTGATGTGTGAGTGTGAGACTACATAATTCTCCTGATGTGTGAGTGTGAGACTACATCATTCTCCTGATGTGTGAGTGTGAGACTATATCATTCTCCTGATGTGTGAGTGTGAGACTATATCATTCTCCTGATGTGTGAGTGTGAGACTATATCATTCTCCTGATGTGTGAGTGTGAGACTATATCATTCTCCTGATGTATGAGCATGTGAGTGACCAGATCGATTTGTTGACAAATGAACATATGAGTGATGATACATCATCACTGATGATGAGAGTGAATGAGAAAATAATGAAAGGCAACAAGCACCAACACTCTCCAACACAGATCAGCAACCGGCATTAAACAAGAGCAAATAGTCACACTGATCTAATGGAGATTTCATACTTCTTAATTGTCTATTTCTATCTGTCAAAATTAATTCCCAGCTAGCTTTGTGCTCCAAACTGTCAGCGATCAGAGAACACAGAAGCAGGAACAATGGCTGCTCCCAACAACCTGAACACACTGACCAGACAATCACTGCCCAGAATAACCATTCACCAAGGAGACACCACAGAGAAGTATGTCAGGTGGACGGACGGGTTGTATCAACATCCACATTGTGTTTTGATACACTATTTTTACAAAAGTAGTTTTTGTGTACCTGTTACTACAAACTCAAACAGCTGCCACTAGTAATAAAATCAGACCCACAGTATGCATACATAATACTTTCATTGAAGTGCCTCATGAATAAACATTTACATTTAACTTTAAAAACATTTGAAAAAACATTTTTAACTTCAAAAACATTGTCATATTCGATTTTCAAAACTTCTGGTAGAATTCCTTTTACACCATATAAATAAATGTTGTATCCACTCAAAACATAATTGCACATAATATGTGACCCGTGACATGTGAATGTGACATTGTTATGTTGTGCAGAAAGGGGAACCTGTGTGTCTGTAGAGGCTGTTGTATGACGCAGTCGATGTATTAGTCACTGTGCTCGACGTATTGATACACAACCACATTCCTACTTCATGATAACCTGGAGACACAGGTATTTCATGTTCAACACATTACCTTTAATCTTGATTTTTTTACAATAAATGTTCATAACCTTTGGACTTTAATCTGGAATGCGACCCACTACAAGTGAACCAGCATTATTAGACCTGATCACACGTTGTCTTGATCCAAGGTCGGACGTGCAGTGAAACTAAAATATCAATTTATTGATTCAGTGTCGTCCAGTGCTCTATTGATAATCCAACGGAGAATATTGATACAAATACAGTTATAACACCTGGACATTATTTCCCAAACTTTGGTAACCTTTCATTAAGCAATTTTGTAGTTTATAAAAAACAGGTATTGCATAGAAATCTTTGTAAAGGCAGAAAGTCTAGAAATAAATATAAGGTAAGAACAATGACAGCGACAGAAGTTTGGACAATTATAATTCATTCACAAGCCCAACTTCCTGTATGTTTGACACGCAGCCAGCTCTCTACAGTACAGTAGATGCATTAATACAGGATGACATGCTTCTGTCATAATATTGACACGGGCAGTCAGCCCAGGGTACATTAACAGTTTGCTAGGCCGGACCTAACTTTGCAGCAGCCATCAGAAAATCCATAAAATACGGGAACTGTCAAGGGATCTTATATGAATATTCATAAACCCATAGTAACATTTGGTATAATTTCACACAGGTAATATGGAAATACATGATGTTTTAAGATAGACTAATTGCTTCTCAACACATGCAATAATAGCAGTATTTGCAATATAAAGACTAAATCTATTGTTTGTAATCTCAGATATTATTTAAATATCTATTTTCAAATACTTTTATATTTTCTACTCTACAGCTGTGTCACAAATTAACAATAATTTGAAGATAAATATTCAGTTGAATAAAACCCATTT